CAGATTTGTGCTCTGAAGATGCAGACAACTGGGCTAAAGCAGGGCAGCATGGGCCACTCAGCACCCGTGGGAAATTCAGAGCAAATCACCTTCTCAACAAATCACAGAATCATAGAATGGTTAGGGCTGGAAGGGACCTTCAAAGGTCATCTAGTCCAACCCCCCTGCAAGGAACAGGGCTATCTCCAACTAGATCAGGTTGCTCAGGACCTCGTTGAACCTGGCCTTGAACGTCTCCAGGGAGGGAGCATCCACCACCTCTCTGGGCAACCTGTTCCAGTGTTCTACAACTCTCATGGTAAAAAATTTTTTCCTAATATCCAATCTGAATCTACCTCCCTCTATTTTAAAACCATTACCCCTTGTCCTATCACAACTGGCCCTCCTGAACAGCCTCTCCCCATCTTTCTTGTAGGCCCCCTTGAGGTACTGGAAGACCGCTATAAGGTCACCCCGGAGCCTCCTCTTCTCCAGGCTGAACAGCCCCAACTCTTTCAGCCTGTCCTCATAGGAAAGGGGCTCCAGCCCTCTTATCATCTTCGTGGCCCTCCTCTGGACCCTCTCCAACTGGTCCATGTCCTTCTTATGTTGGGGACTCCAGAACTGGACGCAATACTCCAAGTGAGGTCTCACGAGGGCAGAGTAGAGGGGCAGAATCACCTCCCTCGACCTGCTGGCCACGCTCCTCTTGATGCAGCCCAGGACGCGGTTGGCCTTCTGGGCCGCAAGAGCACATTGCCGGCTCATATTGAGCTTCTCGTCCACCAGTACTCCCAAGTCCTTCTCCTCAGGGCTGCTCTCGATCCATTCTCCGCCCAGTCTGTATTTGTGCCTGGGATTGCCACGACCCAGATGTAGGACCAAATACAATCTTTGTTTCTACTCAAAGACTGCTTAACAATGCTTAAATCTGAACTCACGGGTCACTAACGAAATTTTCCTGTGAAATGCTGCTCTGGGTCACTCGGGGAGGAGCGCAGCCTCAGCAACCCCAACGCCGATGTGAACACCCGGCCGAAGCATGCCGCGGTCCCCGGGGCCCACGATTGTCTCCCAGTAAAACCAGCGCAGAGGGGCAGGACTGGCATTGCCCAGCTCTGGTCAGGGCTCAGAGCATGGCACCATCCAGGAGACACAGCACTCGTGCAGCCTGCGAGCGTGTACCATTCCTGCCTGGAATAATAACCAGTAGTATTAGCTGGGGAAGTGATCATAGAATCATAGAATTATAGAATGGTTAGGGCTGGAAGGGACCTTCAAAGGTCATCTAGTCCAACCCCTCTGCAAGGAACAGGGATATCTCCAACTAGATCTCCCAAAATACCAGGCTTTGGCCAAACTCTGTTCCCACTGAAGACACCACGAACATTCCAATTGATTTCACTGTGGCAAGAGTTGGGCCGGTGCCTTTGATTCTTCCATCCTACACGAGGAGTTTGAAATATTTCTTGTCATGCAGTCAAACAGAATAATTGTACCGGCATTTAAACCCGACTGGAAGGCACGGCCAAATTCTTTTCCAGCTCGTTTAACCTTCCTAATGCCAGAACTCATATGGAGGTTTCTATACAGGGCTGTGTCAAACCCAATCCTTTCCCATACAGTAGAGATTTTTTCCAGGATCTATACTGAAGCAGATGAATTTAAAATTTAGTTTCTGTGAGCAATGGTGCAGGCAAAATGTAACTACTTCAAACAAGACACAGCAAGTAGGCAAAATCAGGAAGAATTTGTGTTTAAGTTTCTGTAAACATTTGGGGCTACGCTCTGTGGGGAATTTTCTAATTCTTTTCTTTTACTAGTGATTCCAAAGTAAAGCACAGACTGCTCTTCACATGGTTTTCACTCACACCCTGACATGGATGCACAGGCAAAATGCTTGTGCACCATAACAGTTAAAGACATTTGACAAAAATACAATAATGTATTTTGTATAAAAAAATAAAACTGCAGATCTGTAAAGATGTTTGACTTTTTTGTCCTCCAATGTTACGCCTGACCACGCTTCCTAAAAAGATGATGAAAGGATACGCAGTAACTGAGATTTAATGGCATTTCTCCTTCAAAAATGCTTTAAGGTATGGTCTGTAACTGGGCTCTAACCCCTCTGCGCTGAGACAGGCGCTAGTTCTGAAAATTCTGCCCACCAGCATATGCAAACAGCTCAACAAATTTAGAAAAACCTCGTTAACTGTCTTTTAAAGAAAAACTGTTAAGCTGTATTCCATTCAGCCCTAATTACCTTGAAATGATTCTGATGAGAACAAAGCTGCACATTTTTGTCTGGTGCTGAGATCACTTAAAATGGGACACGGAAAACAAAAATTGTGTATCCTGAGGGGTATCACGGTATTTGCCTATGAGCATTACAATAACTTCTATTGTTTTTTTTATGCTAAGCTTTCACAAAAGTAGTACTACTGCTAAATTTTAGTTAATTTTCATTTGTTGCTATCTGAATTGTTACATGGTGCTCAGATTTGTAAAGTTATATCAAGGTGTATAACACAAAAACATGTTCAATATATGCCTTCAATAATTTCTTTGTTGTTTGAAAACTTCCAACTTACAGCAAAGCTGGCATTTTATGGCCTGCAGAGCTATAAATCATTTTTAAAATCATGATGATATTACTCAAAACAGATGTGAAAACATATGTTTGCCACGGTTGTATAAACCGCTTACTTGTCATACTTAATAAATGTTGATACTTTTATTTTAACTACGTTCCTTCTTAATAACTTTGAAAATCTTTTCCATGGTAAATATATTTTGCCTTAGTAAAAGTAACGGCAGGTTTTGAAACACAAAGCTCGTTCTGTATACAAATCACACGTATATTTTTTGCTGAGCAGCCCAGCACAGATCACGCTCTTCAATGAGCGTCCACATCTGACTATGAAGAACATTCCCTATATTTGAGGTCCACCAGAGCCCAAAATAATTATGCACAAGAGAATAATAACAGTATCAGGAAGCTATATGGGAATGAGACAAATCATGGAGGAGTAACAACACTTGTATGGGGTGAGGGAAATGCCCAGCACAAACAGGCTGGGGATTTTCAGAAGCAGAGCACTGACTCTGTCCTACTGGTGCAGTCCACCAATTATAGGGTGTCTGCATCCTATAAAACAGAGATTCCTACAGGAACTGTAATATAGGTCTGTCACACTGCCAAATGCAAAATCAGCTTGGAATTGTTGGATATACAATGTTGGTGCCTTAAAATGTCAGCATTTGTCCCGTTATAAGTTTTGGTTTTGGAGCAGTGGGATTATTTGAAAATTACATCTTTACTTGACAAAAACATTTTATTTTTAATTCTTGTATTTTCAGAGAGAAACTTGACCTGTGCAGACCAAGCAGAAAACCAGAAACATTATTCTATCTTTAAAACGATAATCTAAAGTGTCTCATGATTTTGAAGCACTTTTTTCTGATGCCCATGAATCTCTGAACACTAAATTAATCCTAAAAAAGTCCTGTAAGTGCCTGCATAAACAATACATGTATAAAGTCTGATTTCCCAGTACATAATCAATTAAAGAAAGATAATACTATGCAAAAATGTAGACCAGGAACTGAATAAACCTATACAACTTTAATCTTAAAGTCAATTACGGTACACAAATTGTTACCATCAGATCTTTGTGATTTCGTATATGTTACAAGGAACGTTAAATGATCACAGGAGCCTGGGAACTGGGTTCACAGGTGGGGTGGTTTAAATTATTTTAATGGTTTTTTTTGACTTCTGAATTGTCTTTTCTGATTCTTAAACTGTACCTTCCTTCACCCGTCCTGAGTGACAGGACTGCTACTACCAATAACTACCTGGTTTTCATCTTCAGACCCCATAGGATACTGAATTGTTTTGCTAAAAATGACTAAACACGTGGCAAGAAACCATGCACAGTTCAACAAAATTAAAATCAACTGCACTTTCAGATTTAGATTAAATGCCCACCTATGTAATTACTACAGAAATGTAATTTTTGAATCTTAGGAATGAAGGTATGGTTGGTAACTGTTTGGCCTCTGGTGTTGGTCTGTAAATGCCAACAGGAGTCAAGAGGAAAGGATTTAAGCGTGATGATCCAGACAGAAAATTGTCTCAGAACGGCACAAAATGGCTCTTTTGGGGTTCATGAGGAAAGTGCTTAAATGCCTAGAGAAACCAGTGAATAGAAAACAGCTTGTTCTGCTTTCAAGGCGAGAGAGAGTTGAATATGAAAATATAAAAATACGAAATATAGGAAGGAAGTTTTAGCCTCTTCATACAGAATGACGAATCTGCTCAAATAATTTTATGTAACTCTGGAGCCACAGGACACATGGAACCTCCAAATTCTCTTCTGAGTAGCTCATAAAATCATCTATACCTGCCTTTTTAGTTTTCTCAGAAAATACATGACATACAGAGAGTGCAATCAATTTACGCAGGCCTAAGGTGTACGAGTGCATCTGATTTTTACAGACAGCCCAAAATCACCTCAATCAAAATATACATCAGTTTGTGGTTTTGATTATGATAAAATGTTTGTATTCATGGCAGACTTATAAGCACATCACTTCCTCCCTCTCTGCCTCTCCCTTGTGAGGTAATGCAATATTATTAAACACAAAACCCAACTTATTTCCCTCACCTATGTACAGCATTAGAGTAGTCTGCACACCCATCCACTGGAGGCAAAGAAACAATTCCACGTGACTAACCAAATATTTGCTAGGAACTTCCTAAATAATTGAGTCCAAAGAGCAGCAAAAATATTAGCCCCGTATTATATAAACACAGAGAAGCACAGATTTGATGGTTTACACTTCCTAAGGAGAACACCACATAAATTCACTGGATACATTATTCATTGCAATTAGGCTCATAGCTCTCTTAAATTTATAGTATTATGCCGTGGCATATGCAGAATAATAGAAAAAGGAATAAAACACATAATAAGTGTAATTAAATGCCTGAGATGAAAAACAGTCTGTAATTTTACCTTTCTCCTTTTGTATTTTTTTTAGGTTGGTCCCAGTTTCTTGATCAATGAGTTCTCCTTCCCTGCTGTTGGTCAGCATAGCTGAAAAAATCAGAGTGCACAGCTATATAACACTGTCAGTAAAGAAATGTCAGAAGAGAGTAAAATATTAAATTGTATTTCCTCTCTGTCAATATTTTGGTATCTTAACATTTATTTATACTATATGAGTTCTAAAGCAATTGACCATTTTTATTGTCCATAATCAACCATTTCACTGTCCCAATTCAGCACTTACAGCCAAGTAAAATATTCAGCAAAAGCAAATTTGCTCAAGTTGATTAAACAAAGATACCAAGACAGAACCCAAATTACTACTGAGATCAATGTGATTTCTTATGAAATGTTCAAATTAACTAATTAGAAAAGTACTTCACAGAAATAATTTTGGGGAAAAATACATTTAAAGATTTAAGTATTAGTAATTATCTATACAGCAGCAAGCTTAATAAAAGATACAGACAGAAAGTAACCCAAATTGACAGATGACAGCAAAAAACCAATATGCTGTAGTGCTGAAAGAAATTCTTTACTCAACACCTGCAAGATCAGTGAGAGTTGTTAAGTTTAGGAATTTCAGGATGGCTATTGTCTTTGGCCATATTTGATAAAAAAACCTTTCCTTCTCTGCAATTAATCAATTACAGAATTAAAAGTTTTTCCAGTGAGGACACTTGTTAAAAACTTCATTGCCATATTTCAGGGAAAGCTTCCCCCTCTCGCCCTCCCCTGAAATGGCAAAAGTAAATATCTCTATATATTTATATAGATACAAAGAATTTATACACGTATTTGCAACAGTAAGCGTTAGACTTCAACACAGAGAAATGTTTGGTTCAACCTAAATAAACTCTAGTTTTTTTTAAAAAACTTTCAGCACCTTTTCTGGAGCCCAGAGGCTTCTAGCGTGCGCTAGAAAAATAAAAACAAGTTGGAGTAGTTTTCAAAAGCTCTAGTAAGGACCAAACCCCCCTTTTCACTGCTGCTACAGGCAGTCACATTTCTTGTCCCGTGCATCTCTAGCCCTGTTCTACAGACGAAACAGCGGAGAGGCATCTCCTTTCCAGTCCCTG